AGGGAAAGACAATGAAACGACATTAAAGGACTTGCAGGCCCCATCCAAGATCTGTTGACGTCATGGAAAAGGGTCCCAGTGAATCAACTAGGTTTGAAACAGGTATTGAACAAGGTGAGAAACAACAGGAGAGTAAAACACAAGCTAACGTTGCCTGTGAGAAAAACACCCCAAAACACAAGGATCAGAGGGGATACAAAAAAGGACCAATAAGATTTTAAAATAAAAAAAAAAAAAAAAAAAAAAAACAGGCAAGGAAAGAGGTAAAGAGCCTGGGATTTTAGGCTCATATGAAAGCTCCATGACCTAGATTCATGGAATCCTGGGAAGCTACAGAAGGAGACGCCTGGCTTTCTGTGCCATACATACACGGATACCACGTGCACAAACACTTACAAATATATATATGCATGACAAGGGAAATACAGAGAACTGCAAAGCATAATGCCTTCTGCAAGGGCTAACTGAAGAAGCAAGATGAAAAGCACACAGAAAAGGACAGATCCTGACATTCTTACTCAAGATTTGACTCAACATCTTAGCCTGACACTGGAGCTAAGGGAGGAGGGGACAAATTGTAGCCCCACCAGGAAGAAGAGGAATCATCTTTGGTTGCTCTGATGCTAAGAATAATCAAATGAAACTAAGCAAAGGAAAAAGTTGGCTGGTTATCAAGAAACATTTCCTAGCAGAGAAAGATTTATTAGACTGTGGAATGATCTCCCCAGGGAAGTGCCTGGAGCTCTGTCATTTGAGTTGTTTCAGATAAGGATGGGCAAAGCACTGGAGAATAGACTCAAACGCTAGAATGCATCTGATTCCATCACTCATCTCCCTCCAATTCACAGTGGCATTTCACACCCTAAGCAAAGGCAGGACATGTCCCGTCAGCTTGTTGATAAATGTCCAAGTCTATATTGTGCTGGGACTGCAGATGCATTGTTATGGCCCAAACAGAGATGTCTGTTCTTTTGCCCCCACCTTCCTGTGTCTGGCTTGGGGTACTCCAAAACCGCTTCAGCTCTCAATGGATCCAAAGGTGGATGCAGAACAGGGGCTGTCTGGATCCCCTTTGGCCCAGAGCGACTCCATGGTACACAACACTTTAAGGCCATGCGGAAGCCAGCTGCTCAGGACAGCTCCAACCTACAGCAACAAGATTATGCTGTTCTTCCATTCCAACTCCAATACATTGCTGCAGCTAAGCAAGTCACATCTGTCCTTGCAGCTCTTGCTATGGAAAAAACCCCTCCATAAACAGCACACAAGTATTAGATATCCCTAACAGGTAAAGTTCCTTATTTCCCACGTTTTGAACCAAGAATGCTGCACCAAGGCCAGACATGGGACCACTGGATAATTTAACAAATGCAGTGAGGCCAGGAAGCATGCAGGTAACCATTTCTCATGGCAAAGGCAGCTAGCTCTGTTGTGGGAAGGAAGTACCCCTTTGCTTTCCCTCTTCCCTCGCAGACTGCTATGATGTCAAGCATCAGGAAAAGTCTTAAAAGCATCTGTATAACCAGAGACCCCAAACTCTATTTCTAACAGAGTTGAAGGCCTAGTTACCAAAGTCCCAAATACAGATGTTTCTCTGATTCCACCTGCTGCTCCAGTCTGCTATTTTGCAAGTCACACAAGACCCATTCTAAGATAATCAGAGTCCGGTTTAGCACTCAAAACTCTGAAGTCAGGATTGGGAATAATCAATTTATTCCACTGAGAGCTTCAGTGCATTGGTACCATGTCCACATGCATCCTTGCCTCAGGAAAATCAGCCACCAAACCTAAGAAAACTAAGGACAGGAGAGGAATAAGTCTACATGAAGCTACCTGCTGAGTTAAGCACTCAAACCCAGTGCCCGAGTCCCAATTCCAGTGCTTTGGAACATCAAAACTGAGGTAATGCACATCGGCGGGCTCAAAAATCTCAGCCCATGGGAGAACAAGGATAAAGTGAGGACTGGACAAAGGTGCACCATTCAGTGGGGATAAAAGAGAGACACTTCTCACACAGGGATAGAGAGTTATTTTGCAAGGTACTGTCATCATGCCAGATGAGGAATTTGTAAAACTCAGCAACACCTACATCCAAAAAGCCCCAATCCAAAAAAGTGCCATGAATCCCCTCCCTAGAAACCTCCGGTCCTTCTCTTCCCTACATCAAAGGCTGCCTAAAATAGTGTTCATCTCTTAGGTGCTCAGGTATCTGTACCAAGAGGTAGCAGCATCTGGAGACAGAAGCATCATGCAGCTATGGAGCCTGAAGATGCCTCACTTAAACCTCCTGCTTCACACCCAGGGCAATCCTTGCTGCTGCTCTGCTTTTCAAGGATGTAGATATTTGCTCAACAGGAAGCAGCTCCCACCCTTCACTCAAGCATGAAACAGCACTCGGGCAGCCTCTAACAACAGGCTGTGTCTTGGGCTGGACTGGGACAAACAAACCTACGGCCACAGGACAGCCCTGTCCACTGCTCTGCCCCTGAGCTCTCCGCGTCTCTAACCTTTCAGGACATTCAGCTCATTCATTTCATCTCA